CGTCCGCGTAATAACTCTTCCTGGCTGCGCGTGCGGCGCCGCAGGAGAGCGCGCGCTGCAAAGTGTCTGCGCTGGGAGCCGGAGGCCATCAAGGAGGGTGGGGGGAAGAGGGAGTGGCTGGGCGGCACGTGCGTGTGCTGGCACGCGTTTCCGCGGCACGTGACGAGGCGCCGCGCCGCGTCGCGGGGCAACGCGAACGAGGCGACGCGAGGCGACGCGAGTAGTCGATCCTAGTCCCCGCCTGCCCCTCCCCCCCCCCAACCCACGTCACCGAGCGGGGTCGATGTGCTTCCGCGCCCTTGCGCCTCCACGCCGCCCACATGATACAGGGCCTTCGGGGTTCGCTCGGAGGCGCGGGCGGTGCCGGGGCAGAGGCCGGGGTCGGGGGTGAGGTCGGGGCAGGTTAGACGGCTGACGGCTCATCAGGTCTTCTTTAAGATCATGACGTTTAAAAATAAAACGTGCGAAATATTCGTAAACAACGTTACTCGTAGACAACATACTCGTAAATTGCTCGTAAACAACACGAATCTTTCGACACATTTGTTCGCTTCATTGAACAATGAATGGATTTGGACCGATTTTTTTTATTCCAATGTGACTTTCTTTCAAAGGTTTTTGAATATTAATGCATTATTCATAATATCTAGGATGTGGAATTTCGCTTAGGGTGTTTGCTCATTGAAGAGAATTGCCATTTCGATGATTTGAATATTCTTCGTGCGAATTTCACGACATGGCTCTTTTGAATTATTGCTAGAAAACATTTTTACTACGCTTTTTTACGCTACTTTTTTACTACGCTTTTTTTCTTCGTAAGACATAGGCTTAACACTAAACTTTGTAATAACATGGTATTATTTGAAATAAAATGCAATGCATTCAAAGTCTTTGATTACAGAAATATCATAACATGAAATCGTTTTTGGACATTTCTCATCAGAGATAATAATATCCTAATTGTTTTCCTTGACTCAATTCGCTGGAAATATAAATGAAATTGTCTGGGGTACTATTCCTTTATGTTATCATCTCTTGTAAAAAGGTTAGAGTGAAATAAACGCTCAATTTTAAAGGACATTTCCTATATTACAATGGGAATTTGTTTTAAGTTCAATAATTTCAATACACTACCAGAAATAAATACAATAACTGAAATACTGACAGTGATGCTAACATTGTTCGTCACACCTATCTCGAAGACACTGAAACCGCAGAAAACGAGAGATCGTTCGGTGGGCTCATTTATTTGGAACCAACATTCTGTTATAACTGTAAGGGAATCTTTATTATACTTTTTATACTCCCTTATATAAGACTAATCAAATCAAAGTGCCACATGATGAGGGCCTTACACACTTCAAAAGTGAACTGATTAAGATTTGCAGACATGTGTGTGAAAGGAAAAGTATTTGAAACATGTCTTATGTTTTCTGTTTATTTCGACATTTTCTCTAGCTTTCAAAGTGGTTACTCTACGCAACTTCCGAGGACACATGCTTTATGGCCCAATTTTCTTTAAATACACCATCCGCATTCGAAACATCTTAATTTCTTCGTCCTGGAGTTTTGTAATCAACATGAATTCTGTGATTTTGACTTTTCAAAGCACTTCAAATATAGTAATTGAAAATGAAGTTCAGATTTTTCAAAATATACATATGAATCCGTAAACCGCGGCAAAAAGTTGCGACATTATCAATTGAAAGTTAAGACGTGTGCTTACTAATTTCACATGTTTTAAAAAGCCATTTTTATATCTTCAACCCCGTTATATTTCCTTTTTATTGATTATTTGTTGTATTTACCTGGCTTGTATTGAAGGAATATACAAGTGAGTCATAAATCTTTCGCAATATAAGAATTTTTGAAGTATTGAAGGTATTGGGACTTTATGTGCACATCAGTGCGATGAGAAATAGAGCTTCTAGAGATATTCATAAATACTCTAATCGACATGAGTACTTCACCATCAGTTGTATATCCGAGATATGTCTAAAATATCTTTTTCTTTTTAAAAGTTATTAACAAAATTTAAATCTGTGATATTTGTTTATATAACATAGAGCGAGGAGTCAATGAAATAAACAATATTGAACATGAATATTTTTTGAGAAATTTTCAGTTCTTTATTCGCGTTTAATGGAATATGAAAGTCTCATGCATTTCCGTGGAAACTGTATTTTGAAATATTTGATATTTTTAAAACGCTAAAAAGCGTTAAAATTAAATTATTCGCTGTGTAGGATCCTTATTTCAATATCTTCAGCACCCGAAAGTTTCGATGTTTCTGGCACCGTAAGAATATTCGCATGGAAAGCAAAATAATATTTGTGAATGTATTAACGTCATGATGCATTTATTCGATGAATGTGCCTAAATCTATATATGTATACAGTTATTAATACGCAAATTGTTTACAATGTGATAAAATTAAGCAAACTTAAAAAGTTACTAGTATATCTTTTAAAGTGAGTTTTCTTATATTGTCTGTTTTCTGTGTAATTAGTCATTACGAAAGCAGTATGTGTCTCTGCATGAAAAGCTGAGTTTCCTTTGGAGTTGGTGATTTTACATTGACCTGTGCTAACTTTTATAATAATTTCTCTTTTCCTAACTTTACACTTTTTCTCTTTATCCTCTTTATTTCTCTCCTCCTCCTTTTTCTTTTCTCAGTTTTTCTGTGGAAATGTTTGAGTCGTCTCAAACTTCTAAATTGCCCTCTAGACACAGGGGCGAATGCGTTTTGCTCCTGCAGCGTAATGATGAAGAAAGAGCCAAAGAAGGTCAAACACTGGTTGTTTGAAAACCACGCATTTGAGGTTTAACTCAGAAACTGCGTTCGGTGAACTTTCAAGCGCAAATGAATACAGTCATCATTCATTTGAAATGTTCAGTGTTCGTTGTTGAACGATATGATTATTACTGCTGTAGATTTAATGACTTATATGTTAAGTTGCTGAAAATGTGTGGCATTTTTATAACGCCGAGAAACTTCATATTTATTGCATTACATAACGGTTAACATTGGTAAATAAACATAATAGTTATCGCACTTTAGGAAACATTTAATGATGCGCGGTATCTTATTTTAGATTTAGATTTTTTACTAAAAAAACAGTAAAAACTGTATGTGACGTATGGGGGAGAAGATCATCTGCCCACTTTTCTGAAGTTCCAGGATCCATTCCCATAATTTTAACTATAAATAGTTGAAAAATGAATAAATAAAATTAAAAAAAGAGCGAGAAAAGCAATATGAAAAAAACCTAGACATTTTTGTTGTCGAGTTGTAGAAAACTTATTTGTATCGGTAAACGAATTGCAGGTATGATTTTTCTGCATTGCTAACAAAAAAGTATTTCGCCCTTACTCCTACCACTACAAGGAAGAGGAGAGTTCAACACATCGTGCGCATAGTGAAGCTACAGTTACGTCCAGAAGCAAAACAAGGGGCTATCTCAGTATTTGCTTAATGTATCAGGGAAACTGGACAAAAACCTGATCGACATGGGGGTCATTGACCGGAAGCTTAAGTACATTATTTGTTACAAGCATTTTAAGTCTTCTTAAAAATATTTATATAATACAAATGTAAACTAATTCATTATATATCACTGTTTTGATAAAATAAATATTATTTTTCTTTTTGATGATCAGTATAGTCTCTAATTGTATACAAACAGTTATGCAACAGAAAATATTTTTCTGTTAACTTAAATTTATGTACCGACTTCAATTGTTTAATGTCATCTGGCAATGCGTTGTAAAGTAACGTATGTGGATTTCTGGCAGTGAGCTGTTGATACTGACACTGGATGGAAAGATTGAACTTTTTATCATTCAATTTACCAAAGTAACTATTCTGGCACCTTTGCGATTCTGAATGAAAGGTTTATTTCATTAATTAATGATAAAATTCACCTAAGATTCATTTTTGCATTATAAAATTACAAATATTTCTACTATTTCTTTATTTCCAATTGTTAGTATGGTTCATTTATAAATTATTTTTAAAGGTTGCAGTGCGGTTGGCGAGACGCTCTTGAGTTGTATTGTCTGCTATTTGGAATTAACGACCAATTATGGTTGTTTCGAAAAGGATTGACACGATTTCTTTTCGAGACTCACTACGAGACTTTCGAGAACACTCACGAGTTCAGAGCGTAACCAGAGTACTCTCTTACTCTTAGTAACCTGAAATCCTCCTGTAAATGTTTGTCATACTACGTCTCAACATCTGCCAGTCTCGCAGCTTCTTGCGTCAAAGAGCACACGTACATTGACGCTCCCAGGACGCATCTCATCATAAAATGACTCGCTCGTTTGTGAACTGAAAAGTGTGTGTGAATCAAAGTGACTGTTCGGTCGCATACTACTGTATATTCGAGATAAAGAACCGCACTACGGGAGAGATTGAGTTGAGGTTTCCACGGCGGAATCCAGGCCGCTCCCTTCTTCAAGAACATTCCTACAATACGTAAAGGGGTGACTCGCAATCTTTGTACTGAGCAGCAGTCCTGGAATTTATTGCAAGACAAAGAGAAAGCAAAATTTTCATCAATCCGCATTCATTGAGAGAGTTTATAGTCCGAGAAGTTTTTATTGTTTTTTCCTAAACATTGCTTTTCAACTCAAAAAATCAAATTACGTTTTTGATTGGAAGCGATGAATCTCTAAACCAATTGAAGGAAATAACAAACAATAGATAAATAAATAGTATTCATAGATATAGTTAGAAAGTTTTAAATTAAACGTGTGTAGAACTGTAAATCAACTTCTTTATCCTTGCTTTCTTTTATTTAAGAGGAGAAGGAAGTTGGATGTCTGAGGGGTAGAAAGTCTTTAACTCCTTTGAATTCAGCAAAAAAGAGGTTCTTGTTCTTGCCTTGAACATGTGAACCCCAGCTTCTGATCTATTCCCACTGCTGCGTGAGTCAAGAAACGAAAGCTCAAAAAACGCAAACAAAAGCAAATTATTTGCGCTCTTGCGTCTGTCCCTCGGGAGTCCTGTCTCCAGGACGCCTTCACAGTTGGCGGTCGCCATTGGCGCAGCGTGGCCCCGTCGACCAATGGGCGCGCGCGCACGCTGGCATGCGCACGGCGTCGGCGCGCCGCTTCGATCGCCGATACTCTCTGACTTGCATACGCGGGCGCTTGGCGCGCGGCGCGGGGTCTCCAGCAGTACACGCGAGGACTTCCAGGCGACAAGGCGCCACGCTCGCCAGCCGGTCTCCGCCCCCACCGCCACCTCGGCTCCGGCGATCGCGGCCGGGGGCTTCCGGACTCTCGCGTCATCACCGTCTGCGTCGCCATGCCGAAGAGCTCGTCGAGTTTCTACACGAGCAACGTGTCCCTGGACACGGCGAAGAACCTGGTGAAGGGGTCGCTGAAGGCGCTGAGCCTCGGGGGCTCCACCGAACACAGGCTGCATGGGGAGTGCGAGACCCCCATCCTGGCCGCGGCCAGCCAGGCGGTCAGTGCCGCTCCGGGCCGCGACGGCGGGTCTCTTGAGCTCGCCCGCCCGCCCGCTCCCGCTTTCGCGCACCCGCTCCCGCTCCTAGACCCTCGTCCTCGGCCGAAGCGCCACTGCCGCCTTCCGCGCTTGTTGCGCGTTCGACCCTCGCCACTGGCGACGTGGCGTCTTTCCGGGAACTCTTTTGTCTCTTTCGGACGCATTTGCGTGAAGCTACCTTGATTTTCGTTAATTTACTGCACAAGTGATTCTATTGAAAAACGGAAGAAATTTTTATTTCTCGTAATACCCCTTTTTTACATTGTCTTGATCAAATTACGCGAATATTTAGTCAAACTTAAACCAACTGTGTGTGCTAAAAATATTGTGACTCGTGCACGATTTGTGTGCTTCTGATGTATTGTGTTTTCTGGGCGAAAAGTTGGTGACACAGGTTTTATCTAAAATCTCGAGGACTTAAAGGACTTTCGTTCGTAACTAGTGATAGACATTAGATAGATTCGTCAGTCTGGCATGCCTATCCATTGTAACTTGAACTGAGAGGCCTACTCTGGAGGACTTTGCAGGAAAACTAAAGAATTCGCTATGCATCTTGGCATTGAAAATTGTTTCAACAGTCTAGAATTGCAATCAACTTACACTGATGGTCACTCATATTCTACGATATCGTGGGATTCGAAAAAAAAACTATTTCTTTTTTATTTAAGCATTAATTTTGTAAATACTTTTTGATTTTATAAAATGGGTAAAATTTTAAAATATTTCTATCCATGGTTACTTGTACTTGGAAACGAGTACTAAGCAGTATGTATCAATATCTATTGCTTTCCATATGTTTGTTGGGAGATGATATAATTACTATCGAGTTTCCTCCCGCGGTCCTTTCTTCGAAGGGAACTCGAGCGCGAGGCTCCGAGTCAGCATCCTCGAGTGCAAACACGAAAGCAATAAGAAACATAATTCCCTGATCTCGAGTTCTACTGCTGCCGTCAATTACCTCAATGCTTTTTTCAAGAAATAAAGAGCTCTGTTTGCCGCACGAAAATAAGGCAATTTTACGTTTCATTATTTTAGTACCTCATTGCAACTAACCGCTGATCGTTAATCTTGGGGACCTATTTTATCATGAATCAATCACCTGTCCCGCACGCTCAACCCTTCGTCCAGCTGTGATCCCTGGTTGGGTAGGTAACGTGGAAGTTAGGTGAAAACGACGTTCATTGCCCGTTTGCTTCCCCTCCTTCGTCAGCGTCCCCTCTGCGACAGGAGCACGCGTGAGGATTCGGTCGAAGAAGCGCAGTCGATAATGACGCGACCGCGTCAGTGCGCATGCGCAGATCCTCCATATATGGGATCAAGAGAAAACGCGGCTGGTCTTTTTATGATTAACACGAATGGATTGGCGCCCATGGAACTGAAGGGGGGCTGCAAATTAATCTCCTCCCTTTCATATTAATTGTACAAAATTAATTATCAAATATTATTGATGCGCTCGTTTTATTGCATTTTTTTGTACTCGTATTTTATTTTATTATACGTTTGGACTTCTTTTTCACGAGAAGATTTTCTGCCCACTTCTTTGTAATAGCCTGTTTTTGTAGTGCCACTGCCCTCGTGTAGAATTCTAACTGCATAATTTGAAGGCCATTACAGAATAAGAGACGTTAGTTGTTTTTTTGTTGTTTTTTTTTTTGTCAAAATTTAATTTACGTTTAATAAGAGACAAATAATTGTTACGATAATTGACAAGAACTGAAACATTTTAAATCATAGAATGAGAGTTTACAAAATATTCTTTCTTAAGATCGAATCATGGAATTGTTTCAAGGACTTTCAGGGTAATTTTCGAGTAATTGCTTTCTTGCAAAGAATGCAAAATCAATTTGAAGAAAACATTCATCGATACTGATGCTGGTTTTCATATAGCCAATCAATTGACAATTTTGGTAATTGTGCAATAATTGTAAATAAATGGAATGGTCGGAACGCATGTGTACTATTTATTAAATGGATGTATTTTAATGTGTTAGTCAATAAAAAAAAAGAAATAAAAAAAAAAAAATTGAGACCAGGGGCCAATGCTCACATGCAATGTCCATGTCTGAAAACATACCAGCCATCCTCACAGCACAAACATCTTTTTCTCGATTCTTAGACCATCTCTACTTGTGATGCCCATGAGGTGTCTTACGAATCTCATATGTGCTGCTTGTAGTTTTTTCGCCCTCTTTAATTATTCTTGTTTCAGACACTTTCGAGGTTAGAGCAATATTTTGGAGTTTCCCGTTGTGGTATTTCTAGGTTCTTGAATCTCCATAACTGTCTCTCAATTGTTCACAAATTCTATTGTAATTATTTAGTTTCTTTTATATGGCCTCCCAAGTTTGATTGAACATGCTTATATTTCTGAGAAATGAGAACATATTTTCTTGTTCCACTAATTTTCCATTTATTACAATTTTGGCTCTACTTTGTTTTTTGCTTTGAATTGCCATGAAGTTTGTTTTCTGGACTACTCTCATAATATATAATCGTTATACTACACAATATACATACATATCATAAACTTACTAATCATATTGCACAATCAGTATAAAAGATTTTTCTTTTAGGCCAATCTTCCTCTTGAAATACTATGTAATGTGATATATTTTTGTTTGAATTTACATTGGCGTTTTCTTATTTGGAACATTTTGAATGCTTATTTTTAATTTCCTTAACATATCTTAAGAATCTTTTGTTTCTCATTCCATATATTTCCGAGTTTTGGATGAGAAACACCATCTCTAGGTTTATTTTTTGTTTCTCTTTGTTACAGAAAGTGCAAGGATGGACTCCATTGCTGGTCATTATTGGGATGGTGTCCATATTAGGATCATCAGTTCCAGTTGGCTACAACATTGGCGTCATGAACACTCCAGCACACGTATGTCCCAGCCCGTTCTTGCAGATTCTTCACTCTGATGCTTTTGATGATGAAGTCCTGATGAATTGATCTTATTAGTTTGTTTTTCCCCAAAGGTACGTGAGCTTGCATCAGCATCGCAGTCGCCGGGAATTGTGTATGACATGTTGGTGTGCAGTAATCAGAAACGTATACTGAGAAAAAACAGTGGAAGGAATATTGCCTTTCTGGCCTATAATACTAACAAATATTTGTCTTAATTACACTACCACTTTCATTCTGAAATCAATATGAAAATAAGTATTGCATAACAAAAAATAAAAAGTACAGTAATCCCCTAAGAACTTGATTAAAGAGAATATGATAACATACTTTTCTCTTCAGTCCTTCCTCTTCACTACCTATGAGTAAAAGAGCATAATGATTTTTGCAAACTTTGCATCTCTTGTACTACATCTGTGCATGATGAGTCAATGACCATCCAGCATCTTCCCGGCGACATGCTCACCTCCCCATAAAAATATTAAGAGGATTAGATTAATCATGAACAATAATTTTTCAGATCATCCGAGAATTCTGCAATGCCACTGTTTTTGAAACCTATGGTATCAACATGTCCCCCGCAGGGATGAATGTCCTGTGGTCGAGCATTGTGTCGATCTTCATTGTGGGAGGCATCATTGGCTCACTTTGTGGTGGATGGGTGGCTGACCTTGTTGGCAGGTTGGTCAATTAAAAGATCGCTTACATCTGAACTTCATTGTTAGTTCTACCTTTAAACTTAAAAACTAAAATTCTATTACTGTACTGAAGCAAAATAGGGTGAAAAAATATATGAAAAATAATTTACTAGCTAATGTTATGGTCCTGTTGAAATTCATTAATGTATTTTATCAATTTAAATAATACAAAGAAATTCTAAATATTCTTTCAATCAAATTAAATGTTTCTAGGCGGGGAGCTGTCATAGTGAATCATGCATTAGCCTTGATGGCAGCTATTCTTTTTGGATCTTCTCGTTCAGCTGGATCAGTGGAGATGTTGCTGTTGGCTCGCCTCATTGTTGGTCTTTCTTCTGGTATGTTACAATTTACTTAATATTTTTGTTTCAATTTGAATCCTGTTTTATTTCCACTTTATAGGGGTAACATTTCCCTACCAGCAAAAGTATTTAAGAATGTGCCGCAGAATTTGAAGATTATTTGACAAGACTTTTATTATCAGACAACCTTGAATACCACAAAATGTATTTATTATCTAGAGTTAGTCTTTATTCAAATGCTGTATTGCAAAGACCATGTTTCACATTCGTGCAATATATTTAAGTTTTCTGTCTCTTGTGATTCTTAGTCTTTGCATGTGCCTTTTCATGCTACTTGGCAAGTAAGCACTAAAAATTTTTTTTTTCTTATTAGTGAAGGAACATACATTCATGAAATAAATAAGATGGTTACATTAAACTCGTAATCTTCATTGTTATCAGTCTTTTGGGCTCATGGTCTTAAAATAGCATTTTCTGGACATAACATAGAATTTATCTGGAGTAGGTAGGAAGAATTGACTTCATATATGCATAATGTTGTTATGTGGTAAACTGGCAGCTCATTATTTTATGAAGCTGTGGCAAACACCTCATCTTGCTCATCTAGGTTGGCCTACTGGTGGATGACCACCACTGGAACTCAGTGCAGGAAATACACAGGAATTGATATAGCAATGTCGATATGTTTTTCTTATTGTCTCTTTGGATGCACTTTAATGTTATGGAAATAATACTATATTTTCCTACAATAGTATTATAATATTAGGCAATTAGTAATGATTGCATGTTACAATTGCAAATTTAAAGCTTAGTTCAAGAAACCAATTAATAATGCCTTCAAACAAAAATTTTACAATTGGCTAACTTGTTGCAATTTAGAAAAACAAATTATCAAGATTGTCAGAACACATTTCCTTGCAGGCATGGCTAGATGGAATAAAAAATAATTAAAAGAACATTGAAGTGTGATCTGAAAGACAGTAACATGTCAGACATGTCCTTTGTGGACAGAAAATGGCCATATGGGAAATATGGTCTGATGGAAAAATTGAAAGTACAGTGTTAGAGTATCATTTTCAGGCTTTTAGATCTTCCTCTGCTCTGGTGAGTTGAGAGAGAGAGAGAGAGAGCGAGATTGAGAGCTTTGATGGTCCTGCAAGTGACAAATGTCACCCACCAGCTTTGTGATAAACGGGCTGGCATGCAACTCCTCTGTCATGCAGGTTTGGTTACGACTACTGTCCCCATGTACCTCACGGAGATAGCACCCATTTCCATTCGAGGTGCCATGGGCGTACTCACTCCCCTGGGTCTTACTGTTGGCGTACTTCTAGGGCAAATAATGGGACTTCGGCCTGTTCTTGGTGAGTTTGTACCATGTTTTTCTTCAAAATTAATTTAGTGAACACTCTGATAACTTAAATTTTTGTGAATTCTCTTTCTTGTGTTTCCCAATCTTGTAAATCTTTTTGAGACATGAAATACCTATTAATGAACTCAATGAAAACAAACAACCAGTTTTAAAAAAACATTGAATTGAAGTGCAGTTACTTTGTTTTTATTAATTACAATTTCATTTCATTTCATTTATTATTTTAAGTAGTACGGTGAAGATTTTTAGTTTCTTTAATTTTCTTTAAAAAGAACCCTTCTGTATTGAATCATTTTGCCCTATTTAATATTTGTTCCTCTTTATTTAGTACAAATAACAATTTAATGTGGACAGTGTTAACCACAAATACTTTACCTCAAATGTATAGGTAAAAAGTATCAACCTTTTATTTTCAGATATATTATAGAACATATATTTTGGTAAGCTTATCCTTAAGTATATCATTCATGATCATTGGGTTGCTTAGTTACAACCATAAAGGTTCAGAACAATATTTCATATTGTAATGTTCCATTAATTATTATGAGTAGCAATTTTAATTTCTTCCCATAATTTTGATTGCTTTGTAGTTATCTGCCAGACTTCTGCTACATATTTTATGAAAGTCGTTGACCATACGAAAGGATAAATTTGCAGTATGTTTATGGTTAATATTTGTTATGATTTTATTTGTGTAGGTCGTGAAGATACCTGGCATCTACTTCTCAGCCTTTATGCAATTCCAGTATTATTGGCATCTATTGCCATCCCATTGCTTCCAGAAAGTCCCAAGTATTTGTATGCAATTCGTGGAGAAATTGAACGAGCAGTAGATGGTTAGAAAGGTTTTGAATTCCTAAAATTGAAACATTAATCCAAATGTTAATATTTGGAGTGCTTTAATATTTTTTAAGAGATTTTATATTTTAAGAGAGATTGTCTGTTATTAGAATTGTGTCGTTTACGAAAAGTATCAATTCCGGATGAATTGGGAACAGAATTGGAAGAATTGTCACAAAGTTCTGTTGCATCAGCTGGTACATCGTGGAGTGTAACCCGTGTCCTAAAAACGTCTCAGCTGTATCTGCCATTGTGCCTTGTGTGTGCAATGCAAGCTGGTCAACAGTTTAGTGGAATTAATGCTGTAAGTATAAAATTCTTTAAAAATATAGTGTGGTTTGAAACACTTTGACATCTCGTATATAGTTTCTATTTGTTTAGGTCTTCTACTATTCTGTTACTATCTTCCAAAGTGCTGGTTTCTCAGAAGAAGGTGGTCAATATGCTACTATTGGAGCAGGTTGTGTGAACTTGCTTGTAACAATTCTGGCCATTTCTTTGGTAACACGTTTTGGTAGACGTGCTCTTATTCTTCTTAGTTGTTGGTTAGCTGCTGGATGCCTTATTCTTCTCATGATAACTATCATTTTTATTGTAAGTATTTAAATTAAAAAATAAGCAATTAAAAATAGTATTCATAACCTTTTAGTTGGTTTAATATTTGGATTTTACTTTTGCAGGATGCTGTCTCCTGGATGCCTTACCTTTGCATATTTGCTGTTCTTGGATATGTGTTTACTTATGGGTTTGGGCTTGGCCCAATTCCTTATTTTATTGGATCAGGTACACTTCTAAAATAGTTTCAAATTATTTTGAAAAATTATTTTTCAGAACAAGATTAACTCAGAACAAACCTATTCCAGAACTTTTTGATGTTGGCCCCCGTCCTGTGGCAATGGCGTTTGGAAGCATGTCAAACTGGGCAGGAAATTTTATAGTGGGTATGACCTTTCCGTCTCTCCAAGCTTACATTGGAGCATACTCTTTCTTGATTTTTGCACTTATTACCATTTGCCTTGCAGAATTCTTGAGGTAAGTTCTGCTTTAGACTGTAGGTACAATATTAAAAATATCTTAATATTACTCATTATTAGAGGTTTGTAAATAGTCACTTATTATTTTATTTATTTTTTAGATTATATATCCCAGAAACACAAGGCCGCACTGCCGCTGAAGTTGCTGACGCATTGGAAGGTGGTTTTAAAAGACGAAAAGGTGTAATGTTTGTTGCACCTCCTAATAATGATTCAGAAGTTGGAGGTGAATTGACTAGAGCAGCTGTATGAGACTTTTGTGGGACAAATTAGAATTTGAGTTTGCTGTGACCTTCTTCCAGTGATTTATGTGATAACGCGTGTACTGAGTCACTGCTATTGTCAGCACTTTTGTCAATGGCTGTGGATGCCGTATCAGTATCTTTAACTTCCATAACTACAACTTCACATGTACTGATTATCAACAAACCAAAAGTTGAACTTGCGTGGTGTATAGCAGAAAATTTCTCATGTTCATTGCATAACAATCAAACATTTTAAAGTGAGAGTAGCACAGTAAATGTGTAAAGAATGTTTTTTCTTTCATTATGTTTAATTTATTTATTTTCATGTTTTTACTGTAATGCTGATCTCTTAATGAATTTATGAACATATTAATGAGCCCTGATACTCAAAACAATGCATTTTTTTAAAGGAAATTTCTTTTAGCATTCAGGAATGCCTAGGGGCAATAATCAATTATAGCTCTACAATTTTTTAATATAAATAAATATATATATATATATATATATATATATATATATATATAATATGTACTTACATGTGAAAGAACTTTCATTAGATAATAAATTTTTTTACATTTTCAAAAAAATTCTTATTAAAAAAAATCATAGGATTTTTCTATTTGATGCCTTCTGTTACCACACTTTTACTTTATCCTTACAAGCATAAACAATTAAGCAGAATGAAGCATAGCGATTTAGGATGTATTATCTTTTAAAAAATGTACTATTATAAATGATAATTAAATATATTTTACATGATGAGCATATCTTAACAAGAGAGCAAATATGAATGGATTAGAACAAAAAGCAAAATTACAAAATTTGTTATTACATTACTTAATCTTCCTAAAACTATCTCTAGTTTTGGGAAAATAATTGCAATTAATTAAAAGATTTCTCACAAAGAAAGTAGGCTAATTGACTCGGAAGCTGAAACAATATTAGTTGTTAAATGCTTAGTCTTTCAGAGATAAATACTGCAAATTTTAATTCATTAAAAATCATTCTTAAAATCAGTTGCTTTCCTTTTTGATGATCAGAATAGTCTAATTGTATAAAAAGTTGTGCAACAGAAAGGAGTTTACATATCAGTTAAACTTGTGTACCAATTTTAATCTTTTTGGTGTCATTTGGCAATTGCTGTAAATAAGTTTTCTATAACTTGGGAGAGAAAATTTAGTTTTCAAACGCTGAAAACATTTCTTTTTATGAAACTCTTATTCATCATTCAACCATTTATAGTTAAAATGTTGGGAAGAGATTCTGGAGTTCAAAAAATATGTGCAGATGGTACTTCTCTCCCCACAAATCACATCCACTTTTTTCTGTTTTTTGACTAAATAAATCAAAAAAATCAAAATAGTGTACATGTATTGTATGTGAAATTTTTGTATTGAGCTTTCAATACTGACACCTGATGAATATGATTACTAAGTTGAGTGTTACAGAGATTTTTATTTGCTAAAAATTCATTTTTGACAAAAGACACTGATGGAAATTGAGGCAAGGTTATAGTAAAATTCCTATCTTAATAAAGAGACGCTTACAAGAATTATGTAGGTAGGATTTGGTTATTATTCTTGCACATCATTTCTTTAATTTAAAAGTTTGGGAGCTGGTGGATGCTATATCTCAGTTGACAATGAACATTTGTGAAACATACACGAGTAGTATGAAAACTGACTGAATTGCAAAAAATCCTCAACAGAGTGTAATGAATTTAATTTTGTGTTGTGGATACCATTGAAGTTTGAATTGAGGGATTCAGTTTTCCTTAGTCGGTCAATGACCTCTTGTTCTTTTTCAATAGAGTGCATAATTGTTTATTTGAAATGAAAAACTATATTGAAATAACTTTTCTTTTGTTTACTATTACTGTGTTGTTACAGTAATAGTACATGTTGTACATACAGAATTGTCCATTTGAAATGTCTGATATGTACTATTTACTATTTTATTGCAAAGAATATTCTTATCATCAGCAAAGATAACTGTTTTTTCGTTTCGAATCCATGACAGAATATGGTTTACGTGAAGTAGGAAGAGATTAGAGCCTAAAATCGAACTCTGCAGGATCCCATGCGCAATTTGCAAGGTTAGTAATTAATATTCCATGCTATTCCACTTCATTCTACTCTTTGAGATCGTCGGTTAAGGTGTGAACATAATCAATCTAGAGCAATACCACAAATTCCATACGAAGGTAATTTTGAAAGTAAAATGTTACTTCAAATGCCTTTGAAAGATCTAAAAATGTTCCAATATTTGTTTCATTTTGATTCATTGAAGAAGCGACATATTTAAGAAAGGAAAATATGGGAATTTCCGTAGATTTTGTTTTTCTAAATCTATATTTGTAATTCAAAAACGCTTCGTATTTACTGAGAAAGCTTTCTGTTCGAGCGTGTCTCTGATACTTTTGAGAAATTTGACAAAAAAAGAAATTGATAATACTGAATTTCATTTTTGTTGCCTTGTTTGATCAGCGGATTAATCCTAGCTGTTTTGAAAATACTTGGAAACAATGCCTAAAGATGCAAAATCATAAAGAAACTACTGTCCATTTCGATGCAAAACAAAGCATCTCTTAGCAAACTGAAATATGGAATATTATTTGTTCATTTAAAAAAACTTTATTGTTCCTCCACTTGATATGAATCATCCTCAGGGGCGTATCCAGACGATCATTTTGGTGGGGACCATCGTAGATTTATGTTAAATAATAAATTTACACGTATATTATATTGTATATTACTTATGTACTATTGATATACGATACAATATTATTGTTTAAATAAATATTTAGATAAATTTTGTCAAATAAAGGGAGGGAAACGAAAACTTTGCGTTTTGGAGGGAGCCATGACCCCCCCCCTCTGGGTCCACCAGTGCTCACCTGTATAATTAAATTGCAGGCGCATGAATAAAGAAATAACGTCATCCACTCATTCAGTTTAGTCCTTGTGAAGCAGAACTCCCCTCTTCGCTCCAGTTTTGCGGATCGAAGGCCCCCCCTCCTCCGCGCTCACGCACCGGGTCGCGATAGTGAAGGCCGCGGCGCCGGCTGCTGGCCTCGTGACGAGAAGACGTGGCCGGCGGCGGCACACAGAGGGTCCACGCACGGCAGATTCCCTTGGTCTAATCCAAACCTTTCAATCTAACGTTGAATATATTTTACTGGGAGTTTGTTTGGCTGTTATTCGTCGTCTTTAATTCTGAGTACTATTTTATCTGTAACAATTTCTCCTTTTCTGTCACGGTAAAGTAAATTTGACTTATTTTGATGTTTATCTGCTTTAATGAGTTCATCTGGTGAATCTCTTTTCCCAAGTAAAATGGCCGAAGCTAATGTTGTTGATGTAAGCATAAACTTTCTTAAGATTTCAAAAACAATTCACATTGAAAGAAACATCATTTCCTATCTCCTCTGAAAGTTGTGTAGATTACATTACGTCGCGTAAACGTTAGCGTAAAGCATATCCTAAGATCATACAGAAAAAGATTTCCTTGGTTTACTCGTTTGAATGTTCCATATTATTTATATCTTTGTGGCCGATACGTCATGAAGAGACACGTGCAACTTGTTTTGCATACTGAAATTTTTACAGATAACTTTTTCTAGAAAATCCAATTTTATATAAACAAAGAAAATGGAAGAGAAAACGCTCCAAATGCTAGCAACCTCTAGGAGTTGTCCAATTGCATCATTACCCTTTATTCATTTACGTAGTCCGTAGGAAATGACGCAACAGAAATTATTTATTCCCTTCAAAATTATACAAATATGACATATTTATTTTATATCAAAATAATGTATTTTATATCAAAATAACTTACCAAGTAACTGGGATAAGTCATGATTCATAAATTCTTATTTGATGCTTGTTACGGCGTTGGAGTCAAAATGCACCTCGCCAGCCGCTATTTTAACCACCTTTTTTAATTTCAAGTCGTAGGCTTCCGCGACCAGAGTCATGTGAATGATCTTGGTTGTCCGGGTGACGCCGTGTCGAAGCTGTGTTGCCGACGTTTCGACCATCTTGTCGTGGCCTTCTTCAGGACTGGTATGTCATGGGCATACTACCCCGTACAGTCAAGATCATGTACTTGTTTGAATTTGTCCGAAATACGAAACAATTTTTAAA